GATATTTACAATGTCATCAGGCTATTTGCTGCTGTTTGGACTGCGTATAGTCTTTCCTGTCTGGATATATCTACGCAGCCTGCAGCAGTGAGCCTCTGAGCCTGGGCTGACAGACTTGGCCTCACAGGGCTTGTGCTACTGCATTAAAAATAGCTGTGTAGACATTGCAACTTAGGCTCTAAAGTCTTGGAAGGGGATGGGCTTCTGAGCCCAAGATCCAGCCTGAGCTGCAGCATCTACACATTTCATTTTAGCCCAGTAGCATGAACCTGAGTCTTTTGACCCAGGATGGGAGACTCACAGCCCTGGGCTCCTGTTTGCCGTGTAGCTGCATCCTGTGTGAATTGGTTGTTTGCTCTGATCACCTCTTATCCCCTTTCCCTGGACATCCTTCCACTTACCTCCTCCCTCTCCCTGCCCTCCATGCTCCACCTGTTCCTCTCACTATCTCTCCTTTCCTTTCCTTCCTTCCTGATATCCAGACTAGTTGCTGCAATTAATCTTAACTTTACGGATGAGCTTAATCTTGAGAATATTTATATTGTCCATGGAGATAATAAGGGATGTGGAGGCTTAGAGCAGATGCTAAGAGGCATGCACACTGAGATCAGCCCGAATAACTTGTGCTCAAGATTATTTCAAGGTGTGTTCCCTGAGCTGTCTTCAGATAAGGGGGAAACAATTGTATCTCCTTCTGCAGCTGTGAAAGATACACCTATTTCTAATGATGGAAGCACCCATGTGGATAATGCTATATAAAGGCTGTTCACTCAAATATGTATGCCACAGCTTTTAGGAAAAGCAATAGAAGACCTTGTACATACCAGAGTGAAGGCTACTCCCTCAGGGCTTGATGGCACTCTTCCAGCACAAGCCTGCAGTGAAGGCGCTGCAGAGCTGCACTGCATCTGCAAAGCACAATGCTTCACCAGGCCCTCCAAGGAAGTAAGAAGTAATCACTCTTTAGGAGGCTATAGCACTCTCTTCTACCTAGTCAGCACTGTTGGCTGGTGCCAAAGGGTAGCAGGGCAATGGTCTCATCCTCTCCACTGGGTGGCTAGTACTCAGAGAGTCACTAACAGGGTGAAGTCTCTACACTCGACTCTTTATTACTAATAAATTAGAGGGATAGCTCAGTGGTTTGAGCGTTGGCCTGCTAAACCCAGAGTTGTGAGTTCAATCTTTGAGGGGGCCATTTAGGAATCTGGGGCAAAAATTAGTCCTGTTTTGAGCAAGGGTTGGACTAGATGACTTTCCAAGCCTGATATTCTATTTTCTATCTAGGAGACATATTCATTCCAGATAGCTAATAAAACATGAAATGCTTCAGGAAAATAAGACAGATGATTAGTACCACATACTGGTGATTCTTAGATGGTAGGACCCAAAAGGACCCCTGTGATCATCTAGTCTGACTTGTTGCATAACACAAGCTATAGAATTTCACTCAGCTAGCCCTGCATTGACTTCAATAAATTGTAGCTGAGCTCCAGTGTACCTTTTAGAAAGACATCAAGTCCTTCATTTAAAGACCAAGTGATGGAAAATTTAAGTAGGATCAGGATTGTTCTCATGCAGGAGCAGTGTATACTAAACTCTGCAAGAAATGCATTCTCTATGCAAAAGATTTGACCTCAAATCTGAGCTGTAAACATACATGCTTCGTGGAGTTTACCCAGAGGTGCATCCCACAATGAAAGCTCCCAAAGACGCTGTGCCTGATACAGGTACATGCACGGTGCTTAATGGACTGCTACACTTTTGAAAGTCCATGGCCCCCATACTGTGCCTGGCCAGCTCAATTGGCTGGTGCAGAAGAAGGAGGAGAAGCATAGCCATATATCTATACCATCCTTCCCTCCCTGTTTTTTCAGTGTCGGCTATGATTCTCCTTCCTTACACCTTATTATCATGTTTGCAGTCCTCTCCACAAATACTTTGATAACACATTTTATCAGATGACTTAAATATTCTAATATAGGCATTTAAACAATAGTTCAATTTATATTAAGAGTGAAGGAGGAAGTAGGGATATATATATATATATATATATATATATATATATATATATATATATATATATATATATATATATATATATAT